CCTGACCATACTCATTTGCTTCATTAAGAATCTTATGGTTCAAGAAAATTGATTCTGTTTGGAGAGTTTCTCAAACTTTAGATCGCTGAAGAAAAAAGTTCTCTAAGGGATGTGCATATATTACATTTCTTTAGATCCTTACCTAAATGGAATTTTAATATATTATTGGTTGATATAAATTTTTGTTTCTGTAGAGTTTTGTTTATTGTTTTTTGTTTTCATTTTTGTTTTTGTAGATTGCCATGTACAATTAAAATTCTTGCTTCTGCTATGTTAAAATTTTAATATATATTTAAATGATAATAAACAGATAAAATAAAACCCTCACCTCGGTGCCTTAATGAATACATTGTCTCACCTATTCCTGTGCTGCATCCTGGACCCTGGTTTTTTTCCGCCTTGGAAGAACAAAGGTAATGCTGCATGCATTAGCCAGCAAAGAAGTCACCATTTTGAGGGCTTGGGATATGTTTCCTTAGAGGACTATATTTAGCTATTAATAATTTGAGAGATTAAATTGGAGTTTTTTTAATTAAAAAAAATCAAAATTGCTCTTTGTAGAGACTCTATGGAAGACATGAGATTTGGGTGTGTGTATTTAATACATGTCATTTCAACAGAAGAATCTAGTACAGAATAGATAATAGCAAGCCAAATTAGGCTGAACAATCGTGTTCCTAGAAGACAGTATGATCAGATAGAAAGAGCTTGATGCACGTATCTAGCTGCCTGCTGGACACCCCCACTTTGTCACCCAATACCTCAACCTTGACACATTCAAAAGGCAACTCCGGTGGCCCCAACCTAGTGTTCCTCACCTGAGTGAACAATGCCATCATCACAGTGGCTGCCCAAGAATGGAAACTAAAATTGTCTGTATCTTTGTCAATTTCTGGGCTATAACTTCTACCAACATGACATCACTGAACATGGAGAGAGAGAGAGAAAAGGTGCCCAGTGAGCTTTGAAGTGGCATTCACATGTCACCCCTGCCTGCCTTACTCTGTCACATTCTGTGCTGGACCTATACTGAACTTTCTTTTCTCCACACTCACCTTTCTCTTGGGCCTCTCACCTTTGCATATGCAGACTCCTCTGACTGAGGTGATCTCTCTCACCTTCTCCGCCCCTTCTTCAGTAGTCTGAACTGTTAGGTCATGACTTGCTTAAAGGCCCCATCACAGCCATGCCTCCCATCGTTGTTATTACTTGCTTGTCTCTCTCCCACTAGTCTAGAGGTTCTGTGAGGACAAAGACTATAGCCAGCTTGTTCATCACTTATTCTAGCATTTGGCATAGTGTCTGGCACTTAACTGGCACATAATAAGTTATTTATTGCATCAATGAATGAAGCAAACCAATCAAACTCATATCCAAATCTCAGCTCTGCAACTTCCTAAATAGGTGTAACTTCTCTGTAAAAGGAGAAATAATTGTTACCCCAAGGGGCTTTTTAAATTTGATTTTCTGAATGTGTGCATGAATGCGAACGTAACTAACATAACACACATAAAAGGCGCCTGACACCTAATAGTAGCCATTAAACGGGTGTCAGGAAAATAAAAGCAATGGCATTTCATTTCTTGAATTCTTCCAGGAATCTCCTGCATGCAAACCCCTTAAATCTGCATCAAGCCTGACTCCAAGGGGCCCACTCTTAGCATGGCTATGTGGTAGGGAGCCCGGGAACACATGGGGCAGACCCTGGGAGGCCTTGATTGCTATGATTCAGCTCTCCCATGTGCAGCTTCCACTCATACCAGTTCCCTCCTTTCTCCCAGAAAAACTTGAAACAGTACAAGTTGAATTCTCTCAGTTGAAATCTTTCGCTCTGCCAGAAGGACCTCTACCACCCTCAGGAATCAGGCAGCATCCAGAAATGCCTCGGATGGTCTGAAGGCCTCTGCCCCTGGGTACCAGCCTCAGCTGCCCGTGGGTACCAGCCTCAGCCTCTTACTCTCCTCTTCTTTCCTGACTCCCACCTGGAATGTGAGTGAGTCGGAGGTAAGGCAAAAAGTTGCCAATAACAGTTCAAGAAATACAAATTTCTAGGTTATTAGAGTTTCCCCAAAGGACCATTTGTACAATACATCGTACATACACATCATGATGCCAGAAATTAGATCGTCAGCAAGAATCCTTAGGACTTCTAAACACATAGTCTTTGAATGCCTCTAATTGCAGATAATTTTTTCACAAAAATAAACTTCTCTCACTTCCAACAACCCACAGATATTCCAAGAAAAAAACTATCCTCAGTCAGCTCCGAATGTGTTTTCTCCCTCTGCAATTAGGTCCTGACCTTGCATCACCCACTTCCTAGACAGATTCCAAGAGTGACAGTGCAGGTAAACATTCCTAGTTAACCTGGGTTAACCTTTCCCTTGCTGAATGCTGACTCTCAAACATCTCTGGGATTTCATGGCCAAGCCACCTTTGCCTGTGGAATCTCCATCTGTTGAGTGAGGGTTGGAGGCAGAGAAATATAGGGAAAAGTTCTTGGGCATTGGAGTGAGGCGCTGGCCTGAATCCTGATAACCTGTGCCTAATGAGGTGCCTCATCCAGAAGCATTTCTTAAGCATCTAGCAAATGACAAACTTGAGACATTTACTCATTTCTCTTGAGGTATTGAGTTTTGATTACATTACATTTTGCTTCATATTATTTTAATTTTCAGTTTGTCCCTGCAACTCCCAGGGCTGAAGAGTATTTTCTTGAATTTGAAGTGTTCCTACAAATATATTCTTAATATTCAAGAATATATTCTTCATGAATAATTTTTTATAAATTCTTTAAAATATATTCTCTTTATAAATATTTATGAGAAATCTATTAATAGATTCTTGAATATTCAGAGTCCTTATATATTCTTTCTATGTATAAGTACATGAACGAATAATATATTGACAATAACTATTTCTTCAAAACTATATTTTCTCTCTGCCCTTCAGTTTCTAGCTACAGCAAGGAGCTGGGACAGCTAAACTTAAAATGCTGCTGTGAAGACAAAAGGAAAACTGGTCAGATAAATTCAGGAGTTAAACAAGTAAATTTGCTGACTGAGTCATTTGGTGAATGATGATTACAACTTCATTTCTCAGTGAGATCACCTGCTTCCAAGTCTTTGCATCCTCTATCTCTTTCAGGCAGATGATGGATATTGAATCCAGTAATCAATAAAATACAGCCCAGCTGCCACAGCCGAATGCCCAGGCTAGGATGCACAGAGAAGTGCAGAGGGCCTTAAAGGCAGCCGTGAATATTCAGTTATTGAGTGATGAGAGCAGAGGACTGTGAGCTCACTGACATCATGTGTTGTCCCTCCGCTGGGGAACACAGAACGTTGGGAGACAAAGCTGCAATATTCTTATTGTTTGTTGATTGTGGCCATGACACAGAGATGGAGAAAAGTCAGACAAAACGGTTGTGGAGTTAAAAAAAAAAAAAAAAAAAAAAAGTAACCACCATTAAATAGGGAATGGAAAGCAAAAGTCATGTGAAATAAAACTTTGAGTTTAAAATATTAAGAATTTTTCCTCCAAATAGTTCTATTTCATGAGGTCAGACTAGCTGT